AGAAAATAAAAACTGAAACAATAATCGTTTAGAACCAGATAAACACCACACCACATCCATCGTGCAAAACTAGACCAGTAAAAGAAATCGAAGTAGTTTTCTAAACGTATGTCTATGAAGTGCAATTAAATTCTGAAACCCACTATCCACTTCTCCCACGACAGTTTCCTCCACAAAGGAAAAGCTATGTTGTTTATTCGATCCTCTCATGTACTTTTTTTATTGCAATTTTAGTTTATCTGGTTTATTTTTATTTATCGATTAGATTCCTCCATTAATTTGGTATTAAATTCTGCAATTGTTTTGTTGTTTTGGGTTCACTGTATTTCTGACTCTCCATTATGTTTATTAGGGGTTTTGATAAAGCTAGATTTCTTGTTTCATCGACTTTGGGGTAGAATTGTACAATGGCTGGCCAGTCCAAGAGTGAATCCACCTACGATTTCACTGGCAAGGTTGGTTTTTGACAAAAAATTATTATTTTCCTTTTCCATCTACTCTACAATTTGAAGTTTTGGTAAATTATTTTTTAACATTAACAATCGAACGCTCTCATATTTTGTTTTTAGGTTTACTGGGTTGTATCAGCAAAATCTTCCATCTATTTACTCCTCCTTTGTTAAATGAATCTCTATAATGGACAAGGATTGTCTACCCTCCTAATTGTGGTGCCCTTCCATGCCCTCCTATTTTGTGCGGTCACGGTTAAGCCATGTCAATATTTTATATTAATTTTTTAATGAGATAATAAGACAAAAAATAATAAAAATATAAAATATTAATGTGGCTTAACCGTGGCAGCACAAAATAGGAGGGCATGGAAGGACACCACAACTAGGAGGGCAGACAATCCTTGTCCCTCTATAATTTAGGTTTGATTTTTATGCTTCAGGATTCGTAGTTTACAATATATTCTTTTAAATTTCTAGGTTAAGTATTGGCTGATAATGCTTTCTCCGATTGAGTTGGCTGGCGCAGAGACCAAATTGGAGCGGTCCTCCTTGTGGAGGAATCTGCTAGAATTCTTTTTGCGCAAATTTTCTTTCTTTAGTCCTTTTATTTTATTTTAATTAATTATCTTTGCTTTCTTAAATATTTTGTGTTGCTCAGTTTCAATAGTTAGTGGATTTTTTCCCATTTAATAAGCTTGCTCGCATTAAAATTAATGGGATATATAGTTAATATGTAATTGGGTTTTTTAATTATTATTTTATTTTTATATTAGTGTAATCGATGAGTAGATTGAATTTGTATATGATGCTCTTCATAGATGAGTTTTCTTTCAAACCTTTATATATGAATAAACTTTATGATATTAGATTTATTGATGTTCCAGTAATTGGATGGGACTGTTTAAAACTATCAGTTTTGTTATGCTTCATTTTTATTAGATAAATTAGATTTTCTTTTGATCCATGTGCTTATGTCTATACAGATAAAGAGAGCAATTAGTGAGGTTCAAGCATTAGGAGCAATATTTCACTTTCAAAGGACTTCATTTGGAGGTGTCTAAAGAAAAGTGAAGTATTTCAAGTGACAATTTCCTTGTTTTTAAAGGCATATTTGGTAATTCATGTGCAGTTTAAATCACGGGTGGCGTTGTTAGCCTTGCACCTCTTGTAATACAATTTGGTATTCTTGGTATAAATCATTGGTGGTGTTGTTAGCTTTGTACATCTTGTGATACGTTTTGACTATATGATTATTCATGAAATATTGTATTATAGTAAATGTGCAATTTTGTTGTTTCTTTATATATTTTTAATTAATTTTTATTTATTTTAGAAAACATTTTATAACAGGCATTGATCATGGTCAATTAGTAATCCACAACGGTCGTAACGCATGGTGTTTAACTCTAATCCATCAGGGGCACTGTCCGTGATTATTATGTAATTAACAACGTACTTTGTCTATGGTAAAAGTTATGACTTTTTATCACGTCTAGATACTTAACGGGTATATTGTCCATGGTGAATTGCAATTTACCACGGGCTTTCACCGTGAAAGATGTGGGTTTGTCTTCCAGTGGAGCCATGTGTCCTCAATAAAACAAAGAATATATTACACATCTTTCGTCCTAATAAGTAGGTAGTAGGATTTGAATGCCAATGCTTTCAAGATGGAAAGGAAAGTGGTCACTACTCCTGTTGTTTATCAGTCTACAGATTTTAGGGTTATTGATTAATACTATGTTGTTTATCAGTCTCCTATTCATTGTTATTCACCCCCTACAATGACTGCCATCTTTACAGAATTGATAAGCCCATTGTTTGTCATTATAAACCCCACTTTAATATTCAGTTCAAAATTCAAATAAATTAAAAAATCCCAACAATTTGGGCTTGAAGGCCCAATCCAGAACTAACCCGAAATCCCCCACCCCAAAAATTAGGAATTCTGAAACTTCGGTTTGATTTCGGATTTTAGAATCATGTCCCGAAAATTATTGATTGGGATTTGGTTCGAAATTCCTACCCGAACCGGCCCTAGTGAAACCCAATATTTTATCTACTATAATATTGGACAATACTATTAAAAAGCTGTTCTATATAAACACTCTTTCAAGTGATCATGCACTCTTTGAATTAAAAATTTTCCCTTTTATAAATTTTTTAGATTGTCAATGTTGATTCCCTTTTATATCAATTTAGATTTTCCTTGTTATTTTTTGAATGTATTTGTTGATTTGCCCCATAAATTTGTATAGAGGTGTCAATTTCTCTCATAAACTTTAATTTTAGCCGATTACTCCCCTGAATTTTTATAATTAGCCAATTTCCCACATGAACTTTAACTTTAGCCGATTAACCCCCTAAAATATTATATAGTAAATTACACAAAACTATCTCAACTATAGATCAAACCACAATCTCATACCTTATGGTTTAAAAATTGGGAGTTTTAAAGAAAAGCCCACGGTATTGTTTACTTTAACGAAAAACTACATTTTTATACTAAAAAGTCAAACATGGTATTATTCACTTTATCCTTTATTTTGTCCTTATCATTAAAAATCAAAGTTTTCAAGCCATTTTCATTAGTTTTCCTTTAAAAATTACAATGTCATACCTCATCTTACGAATTTGTTGCAATGTTAGACCTCCGTCAATTTTTCTGTCAATTTTTTTATTAAATGTTGACGTGACTTACATAACCCACTCCCTACCTGACCAAATTAAAAAATTAATTAAATATTAAAATTAAGAATTAAAAGGCGTGGGATCCACCCCCACAAACCCATCATTCTTCCCCATTACACCGACGACATCCCATCTCCAGGCACCCAACCTCACCACCCTGCTTCCCCAGTACGCCCACCGTCCTCCTCCTCAAACCCCCAGAACAGCAGCAACCACCACGTCGTCATGCTCATCCTCCTCGGCTTCCTTCAAGGGCTGCTGCTGCCGTCTCTTCTTACTCTTCTCCTTCCTAGCACTCCTCGTCCTCGCCGTCGTGCTCGTCATCATACCTCCGCCTCAGTCTCTCTCTCTCTCAGCAGTCACGTGCTCTTCTCAACCGCTAACCCCAACAAGGTTGGGATCAAGTACGACGAGTCCAGGTTCACTGTCATGTACCTTGAGATTTCATGGGCAAGGCCTCCATCCCCGGCTTCTACCAGGACGCCGACACTATCGGCCAAGTCATCGCCACCATCGCCATCAATCGAGTCAATTTTCTGACGCTGCTAATTTAGTCTGCGACGCTTCCTTCAATGTGTTTCCTGCATCAAAACCCACTTCCCAATTTTTCTTTGAATTCTGTTCGGCTACTAAGAAAATCACAGAAACCCACTATCTTCGGTGGGGGAGAGTTCTTGGAGCTTTGGTTCTTCCAGAAGAGGAAGGGTTGATGTGGAGGTGGAAAGAAGGGGAGGAGAGCAACGGAGGGAGGGGGAGTCGAAGGTGTGGCGGAGGAGGTTGAGGTGGAGGCAGGTGGTGAGGTTGGGTACCGGAGATGGGATGTCTTCGATGTACCGGGGAAGAAGGATGGGTTTGTAGGGGTAGGTCCCACGTTTTTTAAAATAAAAATTTAAATGATTTAATTTTTTTAATTTTTAATATTTAATTAATATTATGTATCCCTTTCTAGCATTTCTCCTAGAGTTTTACATGTCAAATGGTGAGTGAAAAAAATATACAGAAAAGATAACTAGCATTTCTCTTATTTCCAACAAGTCACGCACCATTTACTTGATCAAAGCATAATCACATAGAGACTACTGCAGGGTTAGTCTAAGACCTTTTGAACAAGGAAGCAAATCCATGCCCGTACCATCAAGTACGAGTTCTGTCTTATAGGACCAATTGGAAGGGCTTTTTCAACCATGTATGCAAAGTGTGGGAATTTGCAAGCAGAATGCTTATGAAGTAGAATCCCATTGTTCATAAGCATTCTCAATTTCTCAGGGAAAAAGAAGATGAAGATGGTGATGTTTTTTAATATTTTATTTATTTATTTATTTATTTTTCTATAAAGTAATAAATATTTTCATTATTATTGAAGCATTAGTTATGAGGGTAAAGTTGTCAATTTATTAGCAAAATGTTGACTGAAGGGGCTATGTACAAGTGAATTAAAATATAAGAGGGTGTTAATGTAATGTTTCAAACGTGAGGAGATTTTATGAAAACTTGTTAAACTTCTAGAGGTGTTATTGTAATTAACCCAACCATTGCAACATATTTATCACGTCTATTTTTCGAAATTTCCTGTGTGCTTCTCTCTTTGTCACTTTCAACATGAATTTTCAATATAATTGAAAAACCACATCGTATATTAGTTTAGTTATGTTATACCAAGTATATCGTCGTCCAAAATTAAACTTTTTATCTTTTCTTCTCAATCATTTGACCAAACTTCTTGTTCTGAACAAGTAGAGCTCAAGTTTACATAGGAGAACACGTCTGCACATTTGTTAATTTAAGGGGGCCTTTATTCAACGAATTTTGAGGTGAAATTTATGAAATTGGAAGGGAAAAATAATACTCCAAGGTAAATATCATCAAATAATTTACATTTAACTAGTATATATATGTTTTATTTATTGAGATTAAAATCAAATACAACAATCCTTTTTAATCATATCCAAAGTGCAAGTCAAAGAATTGCTTTGGTACGATAATAAATTGAACCACACAACTGAGTAAACAGAGAAAGCAAAACACAAGATTGTTGCCAGATGGATGGTCTTAGTTGTAGGCATCAGGATTGGCCACAAGGTAGTTCTCAATAAGCTTGAACAGACCATGGGCCTTGTCTTTTCCAACCTTAACATGTTCTTCTTTGATCTCAACATCTCCCTTAGTGTGGTAGTGGCTGGTGTTCTTGATGATGGAACCACTGCCAGATGCCACCAACTTAATTTCATAAGAGATCTTCTCAATTTTGTCAGAAATGGCATCCCCTTCAATCAAGCTATAGCTATAGTCAAAGTTATCTTTGTCAATTCCCTCAACCTTGTGCTTCACATAGCTGTATTCACTCCCTGTCAAATGAAAATGAAATAGAAATTAAGATGTTAGCTAGTATTTTCGATATATATGTGTGTGTGTGTGTGTGTGTTAAATAGGTAAAATTAACAAGTTAATGAATAAAACTGTGGAAATTAAACTAACCTTCACCAAAGCTAACTTTCTTGATGGTTCCAACACCGCCATCTCCCTCGAGAATTTCAACAGTTTTGACTGCTTGTGGAGCAATCTTCGGAATGAGATTGTCAGCATCAAGAACAAGGGCATTGTACAACCTAGCAGGGGGGATGACTGAGGCATATTCGGTTTCGTATGTGAGGACACCCATGATGATTTTTAAGGGCTTGGAAAATGATCAAGGAAATTAATGAAAGGAGGATGCTAGGAGGATGATCGATGTTGAGGTGAGAAAATGTTCTCTCCATAGGGTGGTATTTATAGATTTGGTATGGAGGGTATATGTGTAAAGTAACCCCGCTCCTTATGTATAATTTCAAATGCATGCATAAAAATAAAAACAAAGAAAAATCAATGTATAAATGTATTAGTCAAAGAAAGCCACCAATAGAAACTTAATACAAATTTATTATATGAAGATATTATTGAAGGTGTAACATTATCTTCGACATAAAAGAAAAGACAATCTTACAATGTCGGTGGGCTGTTTGATGATGAGATGCTTACAAACCATAATTTGGATAATGGCACAGGTGGCGAGGATGACACAGGAGAAATATCATGATCAGTACGTATAGTATAAGGTATAACATACAAGAACTTGGTCTCTGAAGGCTAATTAGGTGTAACTTTTTTTTTTAATTTTTAATGCATATCAACAAAAAAAAAATACTTGAACATTATTCTCTCACTTTGTTGATACCCTAAGAAAAGAAAGTACTTGTATTCCTTGATTGAATAAAGATTATTGTTCAACTAACACAGTACTAATGAGGTTATTTAATGTAAATTTTTATCACACTATCATGTTGATTGTTACGCTATAAATGTTTTGTTAGAGGATAGATGTAATTAGTGGACGTCATGAAATTCTTCATTATTGTATTCACTTTTTTTGAGCTCCTTACTTTTACATTTTAATGATGTTATAATGATGTTAAAATTCAACTTTTAGGCTCCTTAATACTGTAACAATGATGATTTTACGTTGTGCTTGTCATTTTACACTATCGAAGTATAATATTATACATGAACGTGCTTGCATTACAAAAATATCGTTCAAAGGGATCTTGTTTGATTTCTGGCTCCGCTACTGATCATAGCTATGAATACCCTTTTTTTTTTTGAAAGGTGTCGTAGACTATTGAGTGTACAATTTTTTGTATTTATGAAAAAAAGATTCATCCATGTAAAAATGTGTTAGCTATGTAAAATATATAGAAAACTTGGATGAACACTCATTATATACTTGTAACCAAACTTTTTTGTATGTTCTAGTATTTTATACTATACATATCATCTATTTTGAAATTTATGTTTCCAATATAATTATATATTTTTTAGTATAAGTAAATATTTATTGTATGTTTTATAATAAAATTAAATAAAACTAAAAACAGACCTCCTAGACGGCTATGCTAGTCGTAAGCTCTTACTCGTCGGCTGATTTGCACGTTTTAGAACGTTGGTATATAAGGATATTATTATTTTTCAATCATATAAAGTAGAAAATATTCTATATTTTTTCTCATTATCCGGTATCTTTTATGTCAGACCAAGAAAAAACATGTTTGGATGATATGTATGGTGAACGTGGACGGATTTTTAGGACAATCGGCTTTTTGGACGTATCAAGACAAATTTTGGTACCAATTTGCATGATCAGATTGGTTTAGATGGTAGTTTGTTGAACGTGGGCGGATTTTGAGGACAATCAGCTTGTTGGACGTATCAAAACAAATTTTGTTACTAATTGCATGATCAGATTGATTAAACGGATAAGACTTGAAAAATTAATTCCTACTTATTCATTTGGCCCGAATACAAAATGATCCACGTCTTTTGCATATTAAACGTACATAATCATTTCTATTGTCAATAAAAAAACGTCTCTATTGAAAAGCTGTTTCTTTTTTTCAAATTTATTATTATTTAAGGGGAGCGGGAAGGGGGAGAAAGAAGAGGACAGTTTGAAACTATTAGAATAGTTTTGGGAAAGGGAGTTTCGAATCTGGGACGTGTGGGTGGAAAATAGGGCTAGAAAAAAATTCCCGAATATCCCAAAATGTACCCAAAAACTCCCGATCCTGAGTTGAAAAAATCTCGAACCAAAAATCCTGAAAGTTTCAGTTCCACAACCCCAACCGATCCTGAACCATTCGGTACGGGAATCAGTCTCACCATTTTAAGAGTTTGGTAATCCCAAACCAAAGCGAAACCTTAATATATATAATATTCTTTTTGTTATGATAATTAATTATTGGTGCTTTTGTTTTAGGTAAAGCGGCTTAAGACTGTCTTTCAGCTTCATGCCACTACAACAAACAAGCTATCTAAAACCTATAGGGGGTGTTTGTTTACTCTCATTAAAGTGTACTGGACTGACAGGACTAAGGGTTAGTCCAGTCCCATGTTTGTTCCCAACATGGACTAGGTTTAATGAGACTAAGTGTCACTCGCTCCGACAAAAACGCTTGCTAGGGGGTCTTAGCAAGACCCCCCGAAAAGGAGCGGACTGCTAGTCCCTGCTTCGCCCCATCTTTGCTTCGCTTCACCCCTCCCCGCTTTGCCCCATCTCTGCTTCGCTTCACCCTTCCCCGCTTTGATGTCCTTCCCTTCCCAGAAATCCTAATTGAGCTTCGCCGTATTTCCTCTCCCAGAAAAGTTAGAAATGTTTATCAGAGAGATAAAAAGAGAGAACAATGGAGTCTCCATGACTTTGCTGACGAGAGGAGCATCAAAAATCGGGTACAAGATTTCGGTTTAGTTGGGCAAACATGGAACTTCGATTGTCGTCAGGCATTTATGTAAATTTCTCACTATTAAATTTAATCCCCATTTTTTTAACTGCAATTTGCTCCAATATATGACCATCTGAGTAGTTGTTAGTATCTTGTGTTTGTGTTCTTTGTTGTTGATTTTGTTTTATGGGTTTTATTCGGTGATGCTTGTTTTATGAATTTTGTTTTTTGTGTGCAAAAAACATGTATAATAGATTGTTGTATTTGTTGCAGGCTATCGGATTTGAGGGCGATATGTGAATTTTTGTATATATTTTTTATTATTAGAAAATTATGAATGCAACAATGCTAGAAATTGTAGGATTTGAGGGCTTGGATTTGTGAGTTGTCTTTGAAATCTCAAATTGTAGGATTTTTTTGCTCAATGATTTCTGCAATCATGGTTTAGGGTTCTAGAGGCTTGGGTTTTGTTGGGTTTAGCTTTCAATGATTTTCCATAATCGATTTTTGCATGTTTTTTAAAGAGTTAAGGTTGATGCATTACTCAGGCATGAGTTTGTTCTTATGTATGCTTGTTATGATGAGGTTCAGCCAAAGTCATAGAAAGTCGTCGTAGGAATGAAAAAGGAGACTGAGAAGATCGGTGTGATGATAATTTGGGCCAAGATCAAAAGTTAGGTCATTGAAAAGAAGAAAGGGAAGAATATAAGTACCACAAAGGAAGGACCAGAATCCTATATGGAAAAATATTGATACAAGAAGGGACGCATTGATGAACTAATGGGTAACACCCATTATAAAAAAAGAGAGATAATGATGTAAATCAAATATGATTCTCTTTCCATCTTTGGCATCCCTTATGTGCAATAAGATTGCTCATGTTAAGCAATGTGAGACTTGTTTCTTTTTTTTTCTTGTGTGAGGTATATCCTAATTATGTTTCCATTGATTTGTTGTGTTTGTTTTTGCTATTAGGTTTGTGTTGGTGTTTCTCTTGGATGAGATTTAATTGATATATGCATTTGACTAGCTATGTTGCAACTCTGCATAAAATCATTTCTTGATTTGCAGTTTCTCATGGCTGCTGAAGTCTATTTGAATAGGATAGTTGTATGTGTATTGCTGAGAGCGAATCCCAGCACCTGAATTAGTTTGCATGATTTGTTGATGCCATTTGATGATCATAGTGATGACTGGATTTGGTTGGTGCAAACTTTTCACAGAAAGAGTTTGTAGTTTAATTTTGTGCTGAAATTTGCAGGTGAAACCACTATTTGAAGAATTGCCCAGGATTGATGGAACATATGGGTTGGTATGTTTCAACTCATTAAAAGTGTTTGCTGGTTATTGTGCTATTAATTTATATATAGATAAAAATCGCAGAAAAGCATGCTCAAGGTGAGCAGTACGTTGTAAATAAAGAGAGGTAGTCAACCAAGTGCTGAATCCATATTTACAATTACATACCGGTTTATTCTCCAGTCCCAGTCGCATAAACAAATGGTAAGGGTTCTTGCTAACAAAAAGAAGTAAAGAAAGCAGTGACTTGATTCATCAAGAATTCTGCTTCTCTGTTAAATCAGTTCCAATTGAGCCATAAGTAGTCATCGGTGTTCCTAGTTCTTTTGGCGATGCTTCTCCAAAAGACATTGATGTTCCAAGTTCTCTCAGAAGTGCTTCTTTAGTAGACAACAATTTTCTAAGTTTATTTGGGAGTGCTTCTTCAGAAGACATCGGTTGATCGGGTATTGCTGCTTGAGAAGACATTGACTTTCCAAATTCTTTTTGCAGTGCTTCTTCAGAAAACACCAAATTTCCTAGTTCTTTGGGTAGTTCTTCAGAAGACATCGATTGATAGAGTAATGCTGCTTGAGAATACATCGACTTTCTAAATTCTTTTTGCAGATGTCTTCTGTTTTTTACACTAAACTGGCAATTTTTACAATGTCTACTTGCAAGCAGGTGGTTTCACTGTGGACATGCTCAAAGCTTTGTACACTTTGCTTTGTTGCTGGAATTGTTGTTGGTTATAAGCTGAAACGACGCATCCGAAGTTGGGCTTCCAAACTTCTCAAGAAGATCAGAGATGATTGATTGCAACTGGATCGCATTTATAATGATACATTTAAAGTGTTGTTCTCCATAGAAGAATGATTCTCCAACAATAGTTGTTTTCTCTAGAGGGTGCAATTTTGATTAGCTTTCCGCGATTATAGTAACACTGCTTCTGACAATTCTGACATGATCAACATATATTGTTACCCTTCGTGTTTTATTATGTTAATGATAAATTTTACAAGCTAACCATCAACAGTGCCTCTGTTTCTGTACTTTGGAATTGTTGCATCTGCTGATTTAGCCTCACTTGCATGATCAATGTGATTTAAGTCGGATGAATTCTGAATATCAAGTCGGAAGGGTATTTCTTTTGCTTGTATTGTCTGCCATGAATACTTGTTCATACTCTCCAAGCTTAGGTTCTTGTCCTTTTCTTGTTTTTCCAT